AATTGGGAAGAATTGGAGGGTGGAGGCGTGTGGGAGAAGGTCAGATGGTGTCTCCTTGTCATTTTTACAATTGGTAAGATGGCAATTCTCCCCAAATTGATCTACACATTCAATGTAATCCTTTTTACAATCCTTTTTAGAAATGGAGAAGCTGGCTCTAAAATTCAGATGGATTAACAAGGGACCCAGAACAGACAGAGAAATCTTGAAAAAGAAGAACAAAGTAGGGCTCACACTTCCGGATTTCAAAACTTGATACAAAAATTAGCAACAACATGTGCACTATCTGTGACTCTACTGGAAATTCTGGTGGCGTAGCTTCCAGCATCATTGCAATACAAAAGCCACCACACTATGACAAATTGATGGAGGCGTGGTGGTATTATTCATTCAGAAATGAAACCACAAGGAGCCAGTGGGACAGCTCTGATTGAAATCATCAGGTAGAATAAGTGAGGATGTGAAGACACTGGGATCCTCCTACATCATTAGTGGGGATGTGAACTGGCAGAGTTCAGTGGTTTCTCAAATGTCAAACATGAAACGACCGTAGAATTCAGCAGTCCCACTCCTCAGTATAAGAGAATTTAAAACAGTTTTTCAAACAGATACCAGGGGCTTTAAAGGTTTGTGGGACAATGGAATGGAAGGTTAATGGAATTTTTCCATGAACCTTTTGAAGCTCCCTGAGGGTACACAAGTGACCATAGCAGTACTATTCACTGTAATCTGAGGGTGTAAACAAAAGGTAAATGGATAAACAAAATGTTGTATAACTATCAGTGGACTATTGTTCAGTCACATTAAAGGAATGGTGTGTTTTTCACCTCCATGAGGTTTTCTTTCTTTATTTATATCTTTTCTTGAGTTTTTATTGTGCACTGGGAGGTTTACAGAGACGAGTTTTCCATTCAACAATTCATACACATTTTGTTTTATCTCAGTGGTGACAAAGGAATAAAGTATTGATATTTGCTACAACATGGATAGACCTTGAAGGTATTATGCCCAGTGAAAGAAGCCAGAGTCTCCAAAGGCAATATAGTGTATGATTCCATTTACATAGTGTGCACAGAATAAGCTCGTCAGTAGAGACAGAGGAGATTAGAAATTACTTAGAGATAGAGGAATGTCTGAGATGATAGCTACTGGGTAGGGCCTTTATGAAGTGATGAAAATTTTCTAAAATTGCCGTCATCATTTCACATATCTGTGGTAAAAACCATTTAATCGGACAGTTTAAATGGATGAGTTTTATGCTGCGGAAATTGTATCTAAATATAGCTAGCTGCTAGTATAAAATGAACATTTTAGAGATACATGCTGAAACAGTTTCTGGTATTTGCTTCAAAATAATCCATTTGGGGTGTGGAGGGGAGATAGAAGGCTGGCCGTAAATTGATCATTGCTGAACTGAGTATTCAGAGATTCTCTCCGCTATTATATATGTCTAATTTTTAAAAATTAAAAACGAAGAATCCAATGCAAAGCTCTCTTTTAGAGAAATAGGGACGGACCTCTCCCTTGATAAGCTATACTCCAGAGGCCCCTCCCAGAGACTTCTGATTAGGAACATGAATTATTGAGGATAATCTGAGAGTCCTGGTAGCCATGGAGTGTGGAGAGGAGGTGGGCACCGGGCCTGGTGAGGGCCCAGGCAGCTCCGCTCTCTTAGCACTCACCGTCTCTCTCTGCTCACAGGCCATGTTGACCGTGGTGGTGGAAGTGCAGCGAGGGTGGGAATCAGGTGAGAAGCCCACCTCCCACACATTCCCACTCTAGGTATTGCATCCTGGGAATGTCTGCTGCGAAAGGGGAAGGCTCGGCCAGCTTAGCTGGGAAACTGAGGCAAAAGCTGAGAACAGAACTTCAGAGTCCCAGGTTCCTTCACAAGAGGTGATATAAAACCCACCTGCTTCAGACCCTGCAGAGAACGGTACCCTCCCGCTTCTTCTGGAGGGACCCACAAGCCTTCATCTGCCTCAGTCAGGCACGCTGGAGACTCAGGTAAGGGCGGCCTGAGGGTGAGTACAGAGACCGGAGAGCAGGCACTGCTGACCCCATACCTTCACACAGGGACAACGCCTCGTCTTTGACAGAGTGCTGGGCCCCAACGCGGCTCAGGTAGGGCAGTGACATAGGGGACTGGAGGGCGGTGGGACCCCTCCATCTTCTGGGTCCTGGTGTCCTGGCAGCTTGTCAAAGGCAGCATGGGGTGGGGCACCAGAGGCCTGGGTCTCCTTGCAGGAGGCAGAGCAGGAGCTGCTGGCTCGTGTCCAGGGCACACTGGGCTCTGTGAGCCAGGGGCACAATGTGGCGCTGCTTCTCCGAGGCTGCGAAGGAGAAACCCCTCGACTAGTGCCACAGGTGGGTCCTGGAGCAACTAGCCTCCACTCATGTTGTCACCTCCAGGAGACCTTCAAGAACCTTTCCTCTCCTGCCCACCTGGACTGGATGCCCTTTCTTGGGCCCCTATAGTGTCCTGTGGTCCTTGAAACATCTATTGTCAGGGCCAATAGATGTAAGTGTTGGGACCTTAGGGCATAGGGTAGGCTGGGGCCAATGGGGTGAGAGCCAGGGAGGGTGGGGTATAAAGATAAACTATCCACGGAGGTCTAGTTTTCTGTTATTATTTATTCTATTTTATTTTCTGTAGTGTTTTTTTCTGAGTTCTTGTTCATACTGATATTTACCATGAATTTGAAACTTTTCCTTTGAAACTTCATGAAAATGTATCCAAATGAAAACAGATACTTCAATCCCTCTGGGGCTAAGACAGCAGGTCTCACTGATACTATCTGCTCATTGGTCTGGTTCTCTATGGACCGGACCTGTGGGGGTCATTTCTGCCCTGGGCATCATTTTGGTCTTCAGACGCAGCGTGGACTTGGCTTTCAGAAAAAACGTAGAAGAGTTCGTCCTTTCCACTCACTTGAATGTCTTCCTCTACTTTAGCTGCTGCAGGCTCTGTTTGAGGAAGGGCTGTCCCACAGGGGCTCTGACAGAGTGCTCAGCACTCTGAGCCTGGTGCAGGTGAGAACCCTGGGGGAGGGGAGAACACAGCAGGGGGTGGGGTGGGGAGCAGGATGACTTTGCAGAAAGAACCAGAGGCTCATGGGGAGCCAGAAGAGCTTGAGTCTAGTCCCATTCTGTAGCTTTTTTGTATGGGCTTGCCTCTTTGGGGCCCGTTTTCCCCTGACTGTGAAGTATGGGGATTCTTGGTGCCCTTTCTGGCCCCCAGAGACTCCTGAGTGAGGGCAGGGGCCATGTGAGCTGGAGGCCCAGAGAAGGCTGGGTGTGTAATGCTGGTGGTGCTTGTGTTATCCCAGCTCAGCTCCAGTGGAAGGGCTCGGGACCTCCTTTCTCCAGGAACTGAGAACTTGTCTGTGCTGGATGTGCCTCCCCTGGGCTTGTGAGTATCCAGAGCCCACCAGGGCCTGTGCTGGAGGTTTCTGTCCACAGTCCCCCCAGGGGAGGGAGGCTCTGAGCCTGGGGTCTTGTTGCAGGACCTGTTCCCAGGACCCACTTCCATCTTCTTCCCCACATCCCCATCTCTCTCACTCCTCTTACTACCTCCATATTAGAGTAAACCAGCCTCTAACAACCATGGGGGGGGGAGGGGGAGGCCCGTAGGCACAACTGTATGGTTATCATATATAAAGATTACAGTAAAGTCATAGAAGATAGGTAGGTTAGACAGGGTTCTCTAGAGAAACAAAACCAGAACGCTAATAATTTTACATACATATTTATATAGATAGATAGATAACATAAGAATTAAACAGTTAATCTATAAAGCAGTACAAATGGCTCAGTGAAACTCACTCCCGTGAGAGCTGTGAGATGTTGGCAGTCCAAGTCTTGAGGGCCGCCAGGTAGTCCTCTGTAGAACAATTCAGGCTATCCGGCCACAGGCAGCAAACAGCAAGGCAGGTAGGTCACCAGCAGTCAGCCAGATGACAGGGTCTGATAGTCCTCAGCTCAAAATATGTATATTCCAATAGTGTGGAGAAGCAGGTCTTGAAGGAACCTCAAATTACAGCGACACAGTCCATGGGTTAGGTGTTCCACAGGTAGTGTAGCTTGCAAATTGAGGCACAGAACAAGCAAGGCAGCCACACACTGGTCCGATGATCAAAGAGCAAGAGACAAGACAGGGGAGGCTTGCTGAGCCATTTATCTCTCCACCCTTCAATTAATCCCACATGTGCTTATTGGCCAGGTTGGCACAATAATGTTAACTATCTCAATAGGAGAGGTAGGAGAGAAGAAAAAATAAAAGAGTCAGACACATTTTATGGTAGCATGCTCACCTCAGTGCCTCTTGGTGGTCCACATGGAGGTGGGGGGAGAGAGCATCTTTACTGTTTGGGGGTTTTATAGGTAGCCATCAGACATGCCTATTCAGTAGTTACATGGATCACAACATGGGAGGTAACCACAGGAAAGTCCCTGAGCTCACAGGTGAGGAACCCTATTACCTGCATTGGTAATAGGCATGAGGGGGGATGGGTGCTAGAGCGGGAGGAGACAAGAAGAATATCTGCTTCTACAGGGAGACAGAATCAACCATGTTGTGCTCACTTTAAGGCAGCATAGCTGTTAGGGGAGAATCTGTGGGAGTGATATTTAAAGCATAATGTACTCGGACTTTAACTTACCAAAGTGGTGGCTTTCCTACCATCCAATACTAGCTTTCCAGATTCCCTCTGCTATAAGTTAGGGAATGTAGTCCTGGTCCTGTTTCCCTCAGTGTCGTTTCCCACAGCTCCACTGCCCTCTGTTCAGTTCCGTTATCACTCTGCGTGCTCTTGGGCACCTCTGGGAGCAGACCTTCATTTCCTTGGTAGAAAGCAGGGCGGGCAAGCTCGACCACCCTCTTTCCTTTACTGAGTAGACAAGAGGATAAAAATAGGATGAGGCCTTTTAGACTAGCTAAGGGTCCTTTGGAATTCTTTCCCAAGTATCCCTCTACAATAAACTTACACTTTCTGTCCAACTTTTTCTCTGAAAAAAAAAAAAGAGAGAGAGAGGCCTTCAGGATATCTTAAGCGTGGATTCTTTGGGATGATTCTTCTAGACTGAGGCCCTCGCTGAGCTCTGGTCGTTAGGAGCTGAGTTCAGCCTCTCTTTCCTCCAGGGTAGTGGAAGATGCCACTGAAGTGGAAGTACCTGGCCTCAGAGCTGCCTCAGAGCTGTACCTGCAGGTCACAAAGGGCGAGGGCAGGTGAGGACAGGAGGACATCTGTCACCCACGCCCCTCTTAGCTGCCTGGCTTGAGCCCATCCTATCCTCCACAGGAGCTGCTCTTTGCTCACCCTCACCATGTCCTGCCCAGAGCCTGACACCCCTGAGGGGCCCGGAGCTCAGGGCATGTGGAGAGGGGCCTTGAGGATCCTACAACTCCCAGGAGTGCGGTAAGGGGGATGGCACATTCTGACAGCAGTTGGAGGTCGACATCTGGGCAGTCCAAGGCTGCATGAGTCTCCTCTCCTTGGCTCTGACAGTAAAGGCACCCCCGATGCTGGGGTCAAAGCCCAGTAAGGGGAGAATGAGTGGACCTATGAGATGAACACACTTCATTTATTTAACTTTATATATGTTAACTACACCAAGGGGAAGTTGTGTTAGACAGGGTTCTCTAGAGAAACAAGACCAGGACACTTATGATTAGCTATAGCTATAGATATACATATACATATAGATCGATATATACAAATATAAGAAATAAACAGCTAATTAGTCTATAGAGCAGTACAAATGGCTCAGTGCAACTTACTTCCATGAGACAGATAATACACTGGCAGTCCTTCAAGTCCTGAGGGCCGCTGGGCAGAAGTCAGGGAAGCAGACAATTGAGTCCTCTGTAGAGCAATAGCCTGTGGCAATCCGGCCACAGGCAGCAAACAGCAGGGCAGGTCACCAACAGTCAGCCGGATGACAGGGTCCGACAGTCCCCAGCTCAAACGATGTATACACCAGTGGCGTGGCGAAGCAGGTCTTGAAGGAACCTTAAACTATAGCAACACAGTCCACGGGTTGGGTGTCCCACAGGGAGTGTAGCTCACAATTTGAGACAGAGAACCAGCTTTGGCAGCCACACCATGCACACTGATCTGATCATTAAAGTGCAAGAGACAGAAAGGCGAGGCTTGCTGAGCCATATCTCTCTGCCTTTCAATTAATCCCACATATGTTCATTGGCCAGGTTGGCACAATAAACCTACCTATCACAGAAGTTTTGCACAGTGTCTTCAAAGATTTTTTTTAATGCTTTTTCTCCCCCTCTCCACTACTTTAAAATTGTTAATAGGCACCTTTTTTAGAGTTCCTGTAGGTTTACATAAAAATTGCGCAACAAGTCTTGAGTTCCCACCCGCCTCCTCCCCCCTGAACAGTTTTTCCTATTATTATCATCTTGCATTCATGTGATATGTGTGTTACAATAGATGAAATAATATTGACACATTATTATAAACTAAAGATGATGGCTGTATTAGGAAACACTTTGTCTTGTACTGTGGGACACAGAAAGATTTCTCCCAAGTTGTCTCCCCAAAATATATGCCAAACCCAAGCCAGTGCTTGCTACACATGGTAAATGACTGTACACTAGGAGGTCACTGAAAGTAGGTAAGAGGTTCTTCTCCTTAAGGGTATCAGCCATCTAGAGCAAGCAGACTGTCTCGTCTGATTCACCCTAAGTAGGGCCCACTCCCTTCTCATATTGTTCCCTTAAAGGAGAGCCCAAAGGCAAGCCCAGAACCACTCAAGGATGACTAAGGTTAGGCTACTATATTGAGTCTAGGGTCCACCCAGCTTGCCACATATGTACCCTATTCCCTCCCTTTACTATTGCATGTACATCCCTAGGTCACCCCCTCCTATTGCTTGTATTGCCTATGTTACAACCTCTTCCCATGACATAGGTTGTTATCTGTAATCAGGGGACTTGCATGCCCCCAAAGATATATGTTTTGGTTAGAAATAAAACCTGACGAGAGCTCTCTCCTGCCCTCTCGTCTCCCATCTCCACGTGCACCACCAAGAGGCGCTGAGGTGCTACCATGGAGTGTGTCTGACTTCTTTATTTTACTCGCTCTCCTATCTCTATGACTTTGCTATAATTTTTGTATATCGTAACCGTATGATTGCGCCTATTGAACCCACCATTAGTTGTGGGGGGCTGGTTATCCCCCATTGTACAGTTCTATCCATTTTAAGAAACACATAAATGATGTGTCCCCCATGACTGTGTCATACAGAACAGTTTCACCACCTAAAACTGTCATTGGGAGTTCGGGTAGCATAGTGGGTAGGCTATGTGTCAGACTGCTGACCACAAGGTCAGCCATTCGAAACTCCTAGTCACTCAGAAAAAGATGAAGCTTTCTACTCCTGAGTGTGATTTGGGGTTTAAAAATGTGCTGTGAACCACCTATTTATCCTTTCCACTTCTCCCCTAAAACTCCAGCAACCAATGATCTGTCTCTATACTTATACCTTCTCCAGGATAGAATTTTAACATTGGAATTTACATATTTATTTCAAGTGGTGAAATTAAATAGAATACATAAGTCCTCACAACAGGGAAACCTGCCAACAAGGAAGCTTTCCATCAAATGGACTAGGAGTAACCAAATGAGCATTTTAAGTAGGCAACTTAAAAGGTAACTGATTTTCCTTTAAACAAAATTTCCCTGTGCTTCTCTTTTATTAATACTTTGTTTAAAAAAACAACACCCAAACTTTGTAAATGAAGGGCTCTTTGTCAAGGGGTACTTGAGTACTTGTCTGAATTTCCCCATATTGCAAAATGCCTGGGAGGGATGCTAGGAAGCGGAGCCTCCAAATGAAGCCAGACACAAAGGGTAACCTGTCCTACTCAACAAGTGATCGACTTGAAAGTGTAGGTGGTGCACAAAAAAGCTCTTGGCTCAAGAAATACTCCCCTCTGATGCCGCTCCAGCCAGTGTCCAGAATATCATTTAACCAGACTCCAATTACTTTTCTAAAATTTTTACAATTTAAATGCATTTTCAGCCATGTGCAGATCTTTATGGATCCCTGGTGGTGCAGGGGTTAAAGCACATAGCTACTAATGGAAAGGTTGGTGGTTTGAACGCCCCAGCTTCCTGGCAGGAGAAATGTGGGGTGGTTTGTCCTAGTAAAGACGAGTCTTGGCAACCCTGTGGGGGCAGTCCGAGTCCATTCAATAGGAGCACTGTGATTCTGAATCGGCGCAATGGCAGAGAGTGTATGCATCGTCTGGTTTATCAGATTAAAAACTTGGGAAAACCCAAGATTGCAAAATCTCCAGATAACTTTCTCTCTATGCTCCATTTCATATTCTTTACACAGTACTTTAAAGTTATGAAAAATGAAATCATTATGGAAAACAACCACTTCCAACTAATTTTAAATTTAAAAAAATCACATTCATATTTCCAAATTCAGAAATCCATGGGGAAAAAAGTTAGAAAAAAAAAAGCATTGTTAAACATCTTAAATTCCCAGGAGGGTGAAGGGAAGGTGGGGTAAAAAGGGGAAACAGATTACAAGGATCTACATATATAACCTCCTCCTTGGGGGACGGACAGCGGGTAAGTGGGTGAAGGGAAACATCAGATGGTGTAAGACATGACAAAATAATAATAATTTATAAATTATCAAGGGTTCACATTGGATGGTGTAAGACATGACAAAATAATAATTTATAAATTATCAAGGGTGTAAGATATGACAAAATAATAATCATTTATAAATTATTAAGGACAGGGGAGTGAGTGGAAAAAATGAGGAGCTGATACCAAGGGCTCAAGTAGAGAGGAGATGTTTTGAGAATGATGAGGAAAACAAATGTATACAAAAGTGCTTGACACAATGGATGGATGGATGGATGGTGATAAGAGTTGTATAAGCCCCCAATAAAATGATTTTTTTAAAATCCTAAGTTCCAAAATATTCCACATTCTTTTTGGCATTTGTGTAGATTTTTAAGATAGAAGCTTTAATTTTACGGAGCTATACTTTACATTCCATAAAGTTCTGTCCTCTAAAGTGTACAATTCAACGGTTGCTAGCATGTGCAACTATCACCACTGTCCATTCTAGAACATTTTCAGCACAGTTAGGAGCACTGGATATATATATATATATACAGATATATACAGATATATATATCTTTTATCTTTTGATAGCCGGGCACCATCAGCTTTCTTCACCACATTTGCTTATGCACCCATTTGTCTTTAGCGATTGTGTCGGGCAATGAGCATCATGGAATGCCACCAAACTGCTTATTTTATTTTTCAACAGTTTTATTGGCATATAATTCACTAATCATACAATTGACTTCAATCATATTATTAAGAGTTGTACAATCATCCCCACAATCAATTTCATAATATTTCCTTCCAACTATATATATATTTTAGAAATGGACTGCCTCTTCCTTCTTTGTAGTCTATCTTAGTCTAGAAGCTCTGCTGACACCTGTCCACTGTGAGTGACCCTGATGGTATTTGAAGTATCAGTAGCAAAGCAACAAATAAACCATGACAGGATGACAAACTGACAGGCAAGTGGTGAGCTACATACAATCTACACAAGTTTGTAAATCTGCTCTATGGTGCACAAAGGATACTGGAAATAAGCAGCTCTTTCGTATGAATGTGATTCTGGCCAACTCATTTCTCCCATTGTCAACCTTCCCTCCTCCCCCTGGCAGAGATTGCCCCCTGCTGCAGGTGCTGGCTGGTGCAGCTATTGGTGAAAAAGTAGAGGGCTCTCTACCCTGGATTATCTCTTGGCTCCTGGGAGGAAACAACTACAGTTGCCTACTGCTTCGCCTGGATCCCAAAGGTGCCCCAAGGGAGGATTTGGGGTTCTTTGGAAGCTTTGGGATGTGGTCATAGGCCTGCCTCACCTTCCACCCAATCAGCCTGAGCTCAAGCCCAGAGCAAGACAGGGGTTGAGGAGATCTGGAGAGGCAAGACCAATAGTTAACAGCAGCCCCTCACTATTTGAGACCTTCACAAGCCAACCAAGCAGGGCTCCATGGGCTGATCCACAATCCCATGAGGCAGATCTAATTTACAGATGAGAAAAGGGGACAGGCCGAATTTATAGACAAGGAAAGGGTCAGAGAGGGGCAAAGACTGACCTGCCGATTCCACCATGAAAAATAGGACCTCTGTGAAATGTTATGATGTCTGAGATTTGCCTCAAAAGAATATGGTGGGAAAAAAAAAAAAAGAATATGGTGGAAGGCAAGTTGAGGCATCCATCAAACAAGAACAGTCAGGGGTTGATAGCTGTTAAAGCTCGGTGTAGGCAGGTGGATTTCCTATGCTATGTCCATGCTGGAAATTTTCCATAATAAACTAGTAAGACAAAGAGGAGAAGTCAGGCCCAGAAACTGACTCCAAAGTCAACAAACACCCAGTGATGAGGCCAACACTTTCCCAGAACACTCCTGGTGCCCAGCCCTGTAGAATGAGGAAGATAAAGAGGGACAAGTGGGTGGAGGACAGCCAAATAGGCACTTACCAGGAAGTTATTTGACCTTCCTGAGCATCAGCTGCTTTGTCTGGAACAGGTAAGAGAGGTGGTATAGAACAGAGTTGCTATCTGATTATAGTCTGGAGTGGCTAAAAAGAGGCAGCTTATAAGAAGTTTTAGTTGAAAAAAAAGTTTTAGTTGGTGGCACAATGGTTTAAGTGTTGGATTGCTAACCGCAAGGTTAGCAGTTCAAAACCACCATCATCTGCCTATATGGGGCATGCCCATTAGCTGTTGGAGAAAGAGGAGGCTGTTTCCTCCCATAAAGATGCACCATCTCAGCAACCCTAAGGTGCAGTTCTCCGTTGTCGTAGAGGATCAAAACAAGTCAGAAGCAACTCCGATGGCAATGGGGAAGTGTCATAAAGCTTGATAGGTGTTAACTCTTTTTTATGAATAGCATTAATAATAAAAACGAAAAGTATTACAGGCAGTAAGTTTTTGATGCCAGAGGAAAGGAATGATTCATTCTGAGTCTCCTTTCTCAGGCAGTCCCCTGAGCTTACTCCAGGCTGCTTTGTTGGGGGCTTCCAAGAGGAGGAAGGAAGTGAAAGTGGTGAAGCCCACCCGATGGGACCCAGAGGAGGAGGCTCGGGCTCGCCGGGCTGGCCTGCGGACACTGCGTTCAGACCTTCTTGGAAGCACCCTGACGAGTGATGAGCTCAATCAGCTAAGCCGGGCACTTCGGGAACTACAGGTGAGAAAGGTAAGGCCTGGAGGCACCTGGGTGAGTAATGACTAGAGCTTGCTTGGAACCCTCTCTTCATAGGTAGTAAAAACCTGGAACCAGCATGCAGGACACAGGCTGCTCAGAGACGCTAAAGCAGCGGCAATGGGGCTTCCAGAAGCACAGGTATGTCTACTCACCTAACCAGTAAGGAGACCTATGGGTGTCGGCTGCCTCTCTACCTATAGCATACTAGGAGAGGCACGGCAGGAGCCCTGTGGTGCAGTGGCTCAGCACCTGGTAACCAAAAGGTCAGGGGCTTGAATCCACCAGTCACTCCATGGGACAAAGAGGTGTCAATCTGCTTCCATAAAGATTATAGCCTTGGAAACCTTGTGGGGCAGTTATATTCTGTCATACAGGGTGGTGGTGGTGGTGGTGGGGGTATTATGAGAATTGACTAAACAGAAATGGGTTTAAGATGGGGTCTTTAATAATTTATTGATTTGCTAATGTCTTCACTGCCAGCGCTGATGCTGACTCATAGCGACCCTATATGACAGGGTAAAACTGCCCCTGCAAATTCCTGAGACTAACTCTTTATGGGAGTAGTCATCCCTAAACATTTATTGACCATTTACAGGCAATGAGCTTTAGATTCCAGAGGAGAGGGCCCAGTTTTCAGAGTTTATAATCTGGTGGAGGAAAACAATTTAAAACTATTTGTAACCAGCTCTCTAAAGGGCTTATCTACACTGGGTTCTATGGGTATCTATCTACCTTAGCCTTCGCAAGAGAGATAGGTAGACTTCGTAGCGGAGCTGATTCCTGAAAGAGGTGGCCAGCAAAGATGAGTGAAGAACACTGCAGGCAGAGAAAAAGACAGGTGAAGGCCCGGGGGAAGGCAAATGCTGATCTTTCAGGGAACTGTGGGCAGCTCAATTTGATGGAGAGTAGAATTTGAGGAAAAATCAAGAGGGAAGGCGCCTGGACACAGAAGCCAGGCCACACAGGATTCTGTAAATCTGTTGAGATGTTTGGATTTGGTCTTAAAGGTCAAGGAGAAGCCCCAGGTATTTTAAGCAGGAAAGAAAACATTGCTCCCACTTTTCAGGTGAGCAAACTGGAGCTCAGAAAAGCAATGCGAGTGGCCCAGTACCACAGGGATAGTCCGAGGGCAGCAGCAATGCAATCACACTCAAATCCTTAGATTCCTGCAATGGTGCTTTCTTATCCCCTGTGTGGCTCGCCTCATGTGCACAAGGGGGCGCTGTCTTCAATTATTTGACTCAGGTGCCTGGAATACCACTTCCAAAGCCCACTCCTGGGCCCTTCTTTGTAAATACAACGTTTTTTTGTTTTTTTTTTTTAACAGTTCTGGGCCTGGAAATTAGGCATTTAACTCCTATTCATTGAGCTAGGGCCTGATGCCGCTCAGTGCTTTCTTTCACCTCCTGCTCTCTGCAGTGTTCCGAGGTTGAGGCTTTGGTCAGGTGCACTTGACGTATGCTGAGATGGAGGCTCACATGGCTACTCACCTGCCTGAGGTCACAGAGCTAAGAAAAGAAGTAGCTGGATTCTTGAATTGAGTTTAAAACCCTGTGTTTAACACACACTGCCTGGGGAAAGAGGATAAAGAATGTGTGCTCTGATGTCTTTTCAGCAGGTGATGGATTCAGCAGTGGGCTGCAGGTCAAGCCCCCAGCAGGAGCCCCCAGGTAGGTCTAGGGCTTGGAGCGGAGCTTTGGGTCTTCTCCATGTCTGCCCGGCGGGTGCATTTTCCTCTAATGGCAGGAAGAACAGCAGGTCTAAGGTCTGGATCCGACCAAGAGCACCCTCCTGGGAATTCTGAAGAACAGGTAACATGCCATCTACCCAGGAGCAATTGGAAGCCATTAGAACGAGGGGGTGCTGCAGAGCCCAGCTGCTCTGCCTTCTGCTTACCTTCCCCTGACAGCAGGGAGATCCGCGGAGCTTCCCGAAAATGAAAGACCCAAGGGTCTACTGGATCCCCAAGGGGGGTGTGGGGAGGGGCTATTTTTCGATTGAATTGGGATCCTTCCTCAAGACCTCTATGGCACTTGTTGGTAGAGCCAGTGTCACCCCTCTCCCCACTGAGCCTCTGCTGAGGGTCGCTCCTGAACATGGCTCGGGGAGTAGCCCAGGTAATGTAGTAGTGCTGGGAATGTCAGACTGTGTCCCAATACCGTGTGCATACCTGGAATTTTGGCTGAGCCCAGACTGACCCCACCGAGGCCCAGCAGGCCCCAGAGGTGGCCCTGCAGGTCTTCCTGGCCCAAGCCCGGAGACAAAGGTTACGAGAACAGCACCAAAGTCAGATCAGAGAAGAGCTGAAGCACTTGGAACAGGAGGAGGAGGAAGTGGCAAGTGACCAGGTCAAAGGCCCAGTGGCTGGAAAGGTGAGGAGGGGTCAAGTAGGGATGGATCCAGTGTCAGTCCTCACGGAAAAGTGCACCCTTCTCCGGGCCCTCCTGTCTCCTGGAGGACACAGTACTAAGTGCTGTGATGAGGGAGAGTGAGGGGTTGTGGGAACAAGGAAGTACCCGAGACAGGCTGCGGTTCATCAGAGGTGGTGGTAGCTAAATTGTTTGGGCTCAACCCTGAGGGGGAGCGCCTCTCTTTGTAGGTGCCAAGAGACAGAAAACCTGTATGAGAAACCACTTGAGAGATCTTTTATTTGCATTTGGGCCTTGGGTCAGGACACAGCACTGCGATACTGCTTGCAGCTGGGGTTGGCTGGACAGGAGAGTTCCAGCGAAGCGGAGTCGGTGGGGGGGGGCGGTCCTTGAAGAGTTTGAAAGAGGTGGGCTGACAACATTCACATCATGGTGCTAACCTACCCGTTACAGGTCTGCTACTGACCCAATTCACTGCCATGAGTCCATTATTTAGCCAAGTGACTTAGAAGGCAGAGAACTGCTTCGGTAGGTTTCTGAGACTGCAATTCTCTACAGGAACAGAAAGCCTCATCTTTCTCCCACGGAATTACTGGTGGTTTAGAACTGTTGACCTTGGGGTTCGTAGCCCAGCTGACTGAAATGTCAGTTTGAAAGCACCAGTAACTCCACGGGAGATGAGGCCTTATATTCAGGTTTATAGCCTCAAACGCACAGGGTCAGTTCTACTCTTCCCTATAGCACTGCTGAGTCAGAACTGACCCAATGGCAGTTGGATTTTTGTTCATGTGAAACATTAAGCAGTGCCAGAGCACAGGCAGCACTCAGCCAACGCCATGACTTATCCCCGAAGGCTTCCAAGGAGCGGCAGAGATGGTGCCGGGAGTGCAGAGTGCTGAGACTGCAGCTGGAGGGCCTTCAGGCAGAGCGGGATGCTGCAGAACACGACCTGGTAGCCCTCTATGACCTGAACGTGCAGGCCACGCGAGCTCAGACAGGCCACGTGCTACAGGTGAGCAGGGGCAGGGGACAGGCCTTGAGCTAGTTTCAAGGCTGGCTTAGTGACAGTCATCTCTGAATCCGGCGGAAGGTGTTCCGGGCCTGGCGGCGGCAGTGGGAACAAGAAGCCATGGCTACAGAGCATCGCTACCGCAGTCTGCTGGCAGGCGTCCTGCAAGATGCCATCAACCTGGCCTCACAGAATCAGGAGCTCCAACTCTGCACCCAGCAGCTGCATCAGGGTGCAGACTAGGTGGTGTAGTTCTGCTGGGACCGCCTGGGGGGAGAACCTGGTGAGCACCAGTCCTTCATTGGCAGCTTCCACTCTCCTTGTTCGTGAGGGTCCCAGGAGAGACACAACCAAGGGAACCCACAGTATGGGTCCTTAATACCACCGCTGCCAAGTGTCCCTGAGCTGGCCATCTCCTGTCTGTTATTTCATTTAACTTTTTCAGCAACCCACAGCAGGTTAAGTACCATTTGCTTTTCCTTTCAGACAGAGGCAACTGAAACTGAGAGATTAAGATTAAGTAATGGCTCAAGAACAGAGAGGGAAATGGTAAAGCCACAATTCACACTCAAGTCTAGCTGGCTAGGGTTCCACTGTGCAGAAAGCAATTGTTTACAAGTCCTAGTGGGCACCACGACTACCTAGACGAAAAATAAATGAGAACAAAAAGATGCAATCCAGTCAATTCTGATTCACGGTGACCCCAGTGTTTTGTGCCCTACAGGGAGCTTAAAAAAAAAAAAGAGATTCCCAGGCCATAGTCCCTAAAACTGGGCTTCCGTAGGGCTGGAATGATTGTTCACAAGCTCATTAGGTATTCTAACACAGAAGTGGGCTTTGCCATTCCCCTGCTCCTATGAGCAGGTGACAGGAGTATGGGCTAGGGGGTGAGAAGAAATGCGAATCCAAACTCCACTGGGTCCTGAGTTCGCCTTTGTCCTGGGGCCCTCCAGAGTCCTCAGGGCCCACATTTGATTCCGCAGGGAAAGATCAAAAGCTCTGTGACAGCTCCATAGATTCTCCTGGAAGAATGCCTCTTAGCAAGAGCTGGGAGAAAACCATTTTTCCTTGTTAACAAGTCTAGAAATTACCCTAGAATGCAGATACTCTGGACACCAAGGGGATGAACGTAGTGTGAGAAGCGGATGCCACACAGAAGACGCAAGACGAGTGGGGTTGAGTGTAGGAGCCACCCCACACTCCAGAACACTTTATTAAGACCTTATTGTTAGGCAGTTAAGAGACACACTGATTACCCTATAGGAAGTATCCCTGGCCCCGGATCCTCTGCACGCCTTCTCGACGAGTAGGAGCTAGAACACTGGTAGGGAGAGGCAGGACTCAGAGTAAGATGGATGATACCTCACAGGGGGGGCCTGAGAGGCGGAGTGGGCTTGAGGAGGGTCCTTGGGGTGAGCAGAAGTTGGGAGTGTAGATTTAAGCCAGGGCCCAGGGCACCTTCCCTTGAGATGAATCATGCCCCAAGCTAGGGTTTCTGGGAAGAAGGCTGGATGTGGGGAGCAGCACTGTGGCGGAAGGCAGAAGAGGGCACATCCTCCAGATGCTGCTGGGGCAGGAGTGGCCATGTGGCCTGGGGGACTGTTGTGTAATCTGGCAACTGGGGCTCCCTGTGAGACAGCTGGGCATCTCCTTTATGGGGAAGTCATGCACCACAGCTGAGTTGGCACAGCCAAGCACGTGACCCGGAGCATGGGGTCTGCGGGGCTGACCACAGCAGGCAGGGCATGTTATGCGCCTCCTCCCACTGCTCCCCTCCTGTAGCTGCGCTCCTGCTGGATGAGTCAGGGAGCCACTCCGTCAGGGAAGGGGGCCTTTTCTCAGGCCTAGATAGTGATGTTCCCCTAATTACTTTGTCTAGAACAACTTGGCGGGCAGTTAGGAGGTCCCCTAATGGAACCAACTTTTTAAGTCTCCCGCGGGTTAACCCTTCCTTTACCCACTTCCCCAGCTGTTCTCCCAAGGCACTTGTTACAGGGCTGCTGAGGGGAGGAGAGGGCTGGGGTGGCTCTGATGGTGGCAGCTGGTCCACAGGGGCGGTGGTGACGGCTAGCGGGTGCCGTAGTAGAGTCGCACGGCCAGGCCGATGAGCAGCGTGGCCAGGAAGAAGGCGGCAGTGAGCTGTAGGCGCAGCAGCGCGGCGGAGAGCACAGCGTTGACCACCAGGGAGCAGGACACAACGAAGAGGCGTGTGATGCTGCTGCCATGCTTCATGACAGCCGACATGAGCAGTCCATTCAGCGCCTGGCTCAGCACGACCAGGGCCGCCCACCCTGAGAAGCCCTCCAGGAGGCCTGGGCCAGGGCCACTGCCTACGTGCAGAACAAGGTTCAGGAGCACCCCGAAAGTGTACAGGAAGAGGTTCTGAAGTGCCAGGGGCAGCCGTTGCTGCTTCATGAGCATCTCTGTGTATACGGACGCCAGGCCTGAGATGAGACAGTACAGGACAAGCAGCAGCAGGCCCAGCGGGGTGATATGCAGGGGCATGGGGCCAGCTGCCGCTGCTGGAGGGGGCCCAGGCAAGATGTCTCGGGGGTCCTGGAGGCCACCAGCTGCATAGCAGGCTCCTGCTGCCATAAGCAGCAGCAGCGCCAGCCCCTGGCGTGCAGAGAGGCGGTGTCGGAGGCAGAAGCAGTAGAACAGGGCTGTGCTTCCAATCTTGAGATTGCTCAACACCTGGTAGGTGCTGGGGTCCATGTACCGTTGCAGGTAGATCACCAAGTTGTTGTTAGCGCCATACAGCAGGGCTGAGAGGGCAAAGGGGACAGCTTGGCGCCAGGGTGGGGCCCCCTGGGGCCAAGCTTGCCAGCCGACGAGGAGGGAGAACGCACACAGCAGCAGCTTGGTCATCTCGGTCAGTAGCACGGCCGAGGAGGGACGGAAGGGCACTCGGCCATCCACATGGCACAAGGCCAGCAATGGGGCGTGGGCACCATACATGACAGTGGACAGGAGTAGCATCAGGGTCCAGCGAGCCTGCCTGGGGCGGCCCAAGCCTGGCAGACCGCCATCTTCAACACTCATGCCTAGACCGGATCCCAGATGGCCTGTGTAGCAAGGGGTAGCACGGGTGGGGTTGGGAGTTGGGGTGGGGACTCATCTGAAGAAAATCTAGTTATAGAGCCAGCTCCCAGGAGGGAGGGGCTGTGGCACATTGCCAGAAAATACTAAGGATCGGAGGCAGCTGCAAACTCCAATAAGGGCTGGAAGAGGATTGTGGGTATGGCCCTTGGAGCCACAGTTTTGGGGCCAGTCCTACGGGGTCAATGGGGTGGGGAAAAGGGATTCAGGGTGCAAGTTGGGAAGGGAACCTGTACACCCTCTGCAGGAAGGGAAGCAAGGTGGCAGGGAGGATGGAGACAGCACATGCAGGGCCGCCAGGAACGTGAGATGGGGCGTCGTCTGTGGTTCAAGGGCCTCCTTCCTCCTGCAGGACCCAGCTGCTCACCTCTTCCCCTCCATGGGATCCAGAGCTAGTCAGGCCCCTTGCGTAGTGACTGCAGATAGTTCCTCAGCGTCTTCTCCACATTGGGCACAGCATATGCTTGGGCTATGTAGATGCCAGTGCAAGTGCCCACAGCAAAGCCCAGTACTGCCGATGCCCTTAGTTTGGCTACCACGTAGCCGGCGAGGAAGCCCTTGAGGAACGGGGAGGACAGGAGCGAGCCATCCTATAGGAGAAGATGCAGAAGGCACTCTCAGCCAGGCTCTTCCTTTTTCAACTCAGGGGCTACTCAAGCTGGGTGGAGAGTCTTCTACAACCTGCTCTTCCTCACCCTGGACAGCCATCGTAATACCAAGACTTTCCCAAGGTTCTAGAGCCAGAAAAAGAACCTAGGAGTCCTGATCACACAATCTCAGAACCCCGGGATCAACAGGCTCTAACCACAGAACCCCAAAGCCAGAGACACACCTGCCTGGGTCTTCCTCCTCATTTCCTGGCATGATTGCGGCCAAACTCACCTCCTTTCACGCCATCATGTTCACCACGACACCTCCCACCACAAGGGCTCCACAGTCTATCTACCTGGAGTGTTCTTTCCTCCCTCTTCTTCTAGTTGAACATAAGATCCTAGCTCGTGTCAATTTTTTCACAAAAATGTTCCTTAGTACCACAGAGAACAGGTCTTCAATAACCACTCAACATTCTCAACGGCATGCTGGGCAATAGAGCTCCCTTACCTGGCCCATGCCACTGTTCACTTCATCTTCCACACGCCGCTGCAGGCGCTCCAGCTGATTCTTGAGAAATGCCAGATCCTTAAGTTTGGGCAGAGAATCCTAAGATAAGGGAAAGGCTAGCTCCAGTAAACTGACCCAGTTCATCTCCTCTCAGTTCTATTAGAGGTATGTGTGTTTGGGGGGTGAGCCTGAAAAACTCTTTGGATAAAACTCTCCTGAGATGGTAGTAGAGGAAAGGCATTGAGGCACACAGACATCACATGTGAGCCAGGTGACACATGGGATTGGGATCGATAAATTCCAACTATATGTATTGTATATAGCAAGCGGTGTGTTGGGGGCAGGAGGGGAAGCAACATAAACCCCCCCCCCCCCACCTGTTCAATGCTGATTCAGTAATGCTATAGGGCAGGGTAGAACTGCCCCTGTGGATTTCTGAGATTAACTTTTTTTTTTCAAATCATTTTATACTGGGGGCCTGTACATCTGTTATCACAATCCATACATCAATTGAATCAGGCATATTTGTACATATGTTGCCCTCATTCTCTTCTAGACATTTATTCTATTGAGCCCTTGGTACCAGGTTTTTTTCCCCTTTCTCCTCCCCCACCCTCATAACCCCCTAATAGATTGTACACTGTTATTATTTACATCTCTCACACCGACCACTGTCTCACTTCCCCCATGTTTTCTGTTGTTCTTCTCCCTGTTGAGGGGTGCATGGTTATGTGTCGATCATTGCCACCGGTTCCCTTTCTCCGTTCCTCTACCCATCTTCCCTCTACCCCTCTGGCATCACCATTTCTACTCCTGGATTCTGTGTTTCGTGAGCTCATCCCTTTCTATACCTGTGTACGTGTTCTGGTCAGAGACTAACTCTTAAGGGAAGTAGAAAGCCTTGTCTTTCCCCATGGAGCGGCTGGTGGTTTTGAACTGTGGATCTTGAAGTCAGCAGTCCAATGGGGAAGCAGGAAGAGCAGCAAGGGGTCTTCAATAAGCACTACTGACTCAACTTGGTGCACTATGAAAATGGCAACCAGTTTGTCTTTGCTGGGTCCTGGTATCAAACAGTAAATACACACGGGTGGTGGCAGACATCTAGATGAACGATGCATGATGGGCTACGGCAATTCCTTGAACAATTTAGGGGTAAGCCTGGGTTCTTCCTGGGTCTCTCTGCTTCCTACTCCCCACCTCCTTAGCTCCTGGCAACTTGAAAGTGTGACTGATTGGTGGTAGTGTGTGGTGGGGGGTAGGGGGGATTTCAAGAGAAGTGATTTTGATCGCATCTAAGTCTGAAATTCCGTTTTGCCCAGAGGAGTGTTTGGACGAGGGTACGTATGTGCATGTCCACGAGAACAGGAGACATTTTCCGGGAGGAGACATTTTCCGGGCGGAAAATTTCGGAGGCGAGTGGGGTGAAGTGACCGTCCAAGAACGTGTCAAAGGCGTAAATGCGTCACAGGAGTGTGTTTTGGCGTGTTTGCAACTTATAAGCTTGTTACGGTGCCCGGGATGGAAAACCTGGGGAATCCCGCCACGCAGAGCTCTCCCTTCGCCCGCGGCGGAGGCAGGGAATAAGCGCGAGAGTCCAAGGGAAAGTCCCGGAGAAACGAGCGGCACCTCTAGCCCTGGGCTGCTCCAGTGTCGCTTCTTCCTCGGCCTTCGGACGGAGCATGAAGCCCACCCTCGACTCCCTATCCCAGACACACTCACTCACCTTGTCATCCGCCATCTTCCCCACCGACCTTGCTGCGCAGGCGCAGCCCCACCCCTCTTAAGCCAAGTGGTACCACCATCTTTACTGAGGGCGAAGACATTTCCGGTGCATCTTCAGGAAGGGGGCGTGTTTCCCTCGCTGGGAGCTCTCGAGGTCGCCGGCGCGTAGTACTCCCACATGACCGTTCGCCTTGGGTCACAGACTGCACGTGCTCGCGCATACGTGACGCCCAGCGTGATGATCTCACTCCTGCGCCCGCGCACGTACGTCCCTGACGCCCCGCCCCCGGTCCTCGGCTGCTGGATGAGCTCATAGTTGCGCCGTGGTGTCCGCAGGTCGCCTAACGGCCGCAGCCTCGCTCGGACCCACGCACGGAGACGCGCACCCTCTCGGGGACCCAAACGCCGGTGTAGAGGCGCCTCCTCTCGCCGGGCGGCGCTGCTCAGGCCCACCCCTCTGCCCGCCCCGGGGTGGCGCGGGGATCGCCGGCGCAGCCGCTCCGGCTCCGGCTCGCGCTGGACTGAGTGCGGGATATGCTGGGCAAGGATTACATGCTGGCCATCATTTTGGTCAACTGCGATGGTGTGCACGGGTGGCGGCGGGGTCCTGTGGGAAGATCTGGGGCTTGCGGCAGGTCGGGAGCGGCGGGGGGCCCTGTCCGGACTTTCAGCCCAAGAGATTCCTCCTTCGGGATGAAGGGTTATGGTAGTAGAGCGTTACTTTGAGACCACGGATAATCAGCTTTCCTACCTCGTGTTCCTGTAGATGACTTATGGGGAGACCAGAGTCTGGAAGGGGAACCAGGCCTGCCCCCTGGCTGGAGGAAGATCCACGATGCCGCAGGAACTTATTATTGGCACGTACCCAGCGGTAGCACGCAGTGGCAGCGTCCAACCTGGGAGCCAGGAGATGCAGACGACCCAGGCAAGGTAAGGTGGGGTGTGAGGAGAAGGCCTTATCTTGCGTGGGGACCTAAACTTGCTGCCGGACTGACCCAACCACCTTCTCCCAGGAGACCGCTGGAGTTTGGGGACTGCGGCCCCCCAAAGGGAGATCCTTCTCCAGCCTGGAGAGCTCACTGGACCAGAGGTAACTGGGATGGGCTAGGCAGAGCGAAAGGCTTGGGGGCTCCATGGCTCTTAAAAGATACGGCTGGATTCTTGGTCTGCTTCTCAGCCCCGGTTCTGGACTCTGTCCCATGTTTTGGACTCCGTGTTCTTGGCTCTAACCCATGTTCTTCATTGTCCTAGTGTTTTGAGTTTTATACCTTGTTCCAAGCGGGTTTTTTTTTTTTTTTGGCTGTTCCATATTTTGGTTTATTGCCCTAGGCTCTATCCCTGTCTTGTTCTAGTGTCCCTTGTCCTTGTACACGTGTTGGACCCTTTTTCATGTTGGCAACTTTTATTTTGCATCATGTCTTTTTCAATGTGCTTGGTCATGTGTCCTGAATCTTATCTTAACTTCTAAACCGCATCCTATGCTTCATTTAAAAATAAATCTTGGGGTTTGCCCTCGCTCTGGCACTAGGGATGCTGTGTTGTGAGCCCTGTCCCATACCTTGTATCCACTTTAGAGTTCTCTAGTGCCTCTGTAGGAAGTGGGGTTCTCATCAGCTCTGCTTTGTTCCAGTAACTCGCTGGCCTGGTATGGTGAAGAATCCTACATCCAGAGCATGGAGCCAGGGGCTAAGGTACTGACTTGGGTCCAAGGGCTGGACCAGGACATTGGAGGGGCCTCAAAGGAAAGGCCAGGGGTGTGATTGGGCTGAGGCAGGACTCTTGTTTATCAGTGTGGGGTCTATGACATTACCTACTCCACCCCTTTTCTTGACCTTTCCTCCTCCCCATCAGTGCTTTGCAGTCCATTCTCTCGGCTGGGTAGAGGTACCCGAGGAGGCTCTCGCACCAGGGAAAAGCAGTATCGCAGTCAATAACTGCATCCAGCAGTTGGCCCAAGCCCGCAACCGGAACCATCCTCCAGATGGTGCCTGGGGTGAGGTGAGCTGGCTTGGCCCTCCGAGGGTTTAGCATAGGGCCCAGAAGCGGCCCTGAATTGCCTGGCCCCATGACAGTCACTGTCATCTGAAACTTTCGGATGATCTCCGTCCTTGGCAGGGCCAAAACATGCTGATGATCCTGAAGAAGGATGCCATGAGCCTGGTGAATCCCTTGGACCACAGTCTGATCCACTGCCAGCCTCTGGTGCACATCCGTGTATGGGGCGTGGGCAGCTCCAAGGGCCGGTGAGGGCCCTTACACTTCCCCAGTTCGGGAGCTGCCTGACCCCCCACCCCCACCCCCCTAAGGCTGTGCTTCCTATGGATGCTGATCCCCTGTGCTTGAACCCCTGGACACAGATCCTCTGTCATGAACCCAAGCACTGCCTCCCCTGCCTGGTCCAGCCTTGGTGGGAAAGGAAAGGGTGGGCCCAGCTCAGCGGGGACAGACTGGGGAGAGCCTGAGCAGCTGGGCTGACTCTCTCGTGTGCTCCCACATGCTTCTGGAACAGTGATAGGTGAGTGGCAGCTATGTACCTTGAGCCCCAGTCCTCACTTCCCTGCTCCATCCCTGCCTCATCCCTCACCTGTAGGTACTACAGGCCCTTTCCCTAGTCCCCTCTCTGCCCCAGCCCAATCTCTGACCTTGCCAGGGACTTCGCTTTTGTGGCGGGTGACAAAGATAGCTGTATGCTCAAGTGCCATGTGTTTCGCTGTGACGTCCCTGCCAAGGCCATTGCCAGTGCCCTGCATGGGCTCTGTGCCCAGGTAAGGCCAGGGGTGGGGCTAGGGAATGTGGGTATGGCCCCAAGTCTGAAGCTTCCATGGCTGTTGGGGCAGTGTGGTGGTTGGCCCCCTTGCCTCAATCCCCCTGCCTCTGTGTCTTATGCTGGCTGCGTTGCATTTTAGATCTTGTCTGAGCGAGTTGGGGTCAGTGGTGAGGCTCCTTGCTGCTCCCCGGATCCCATAACCTCTGAAGACCTGCCACGGCAAGGTAGAGGGGACAGGGGAATCTGGGTTACTTAGTAGCTCTCTGGAGATGTGTGACTTCTGCACTATCTCTGGGAGCTGCACGATGGGCCTGCCTTCTTGCTATGCCCTGGCCTAAACTCTGGCCCACTCAGAAGGGTGGAGGACGGAATGACGGAGCGTGGCTAGGCCAACTCGAGGTTATATGTGTATATTCCAGTGGAGCTGCTGGATGCCGTGAGCCAGGCTGCTCAGAAGTATGAGGCGCTGTACATGGGGAGCCTGCCAGTCACCAAAGCCATGGGTGAGGACTGGGGGCTGGAAAAGGTGGGCATGGGGAAAGTGGGTGAAGTGGGGTCTACCACCTTGTTCTCAGAGTGCTCCCATGGTCTGGGATATACCACCCTTTCTCAACTTGGAATTCTAGCCCAGCCCCAAGTACCCTGTTCCCATCGCTCTGAATCCCAAGTCAATGAGGGGGCCCAGACACTCCTTGCAGCCCCGTTCTTTCCTTATGGCCGGGAGACACCACAGTCAGTGGGCATGTCCCTCTAGGGATGGATGTGCTGAACGAGGCCATCAGTATCTTGACCGCCCGGGGCGACCAGGATGCCTGGGTGCCCACCATGCTCAGCGTGTCTGATTCGCTCATGACTGCACATCCCATTCAGGTAGCAGAAGAGGGTAAGGTGGGTGGGTGGCTTGGAGGCTGGGAAGGGGTGGATGGGGGTGTTGAGGGGGGTCACTGCTTGCTACTAGAAGTACTTGATGGGTCTGGCTAGCACTTGGCCCTCCGTTGATGGGGACTGGTGTGGGCAGGCAGAGGCTGGCGCCGAGGAGGAGGAGGAGCCACTGTGGCAGTGCCCTGTGCGCCTCATGACCTTCATTGGTGTTGGCCGTGACCCACACACCTTCGGCCTCATCGCTGACCTGGGCCGCCAAAGCTTCCAGTGCGCGGCCTTCTGGTGCCAGCCCCATGCTGGGGCACTCTCCGAAGCTGTACAGGCTGCCTGCATGGTGAGTCAGGATGGGAGCGGGGGTGGGTTGCTTGCACCTGCTCTATACTGGTGATGGAGCTGAGGATTGGCTGACTTTCCAGTGATCACAAACCAGCTATCCCAAGGCTGACTCTGGCTTATTGGTGTTTTATGTGGCCCTCACCCGGTTTTTGAACAGTTCTAATTAGCTGCTAATATTTAAGGGCTAGGACATTTTCCACAATAACTGGTATTTTAAAAAAAATCATTTTATTGGGGGCTCGTACAACTCATCACAATCCATCCATACATCCACTGTGTCAAGCACATTTGTACATTTGTTGCCATCCTCCTCCTCAAAACATTTGCTTTCTACTTGAGCCCTTGGTATCAACTCCTCGTTTTTTTCCCCTCCCTCCTCGCTCCCCCCAATAACTGGTATTTCTTTCGTAAACTATTAGGGACTCTAGTGCCGAGTTCCCATGTATACATTTGAACCTGAAGCTGGAGTTGTGAGGGTCTGAGCATTCTCTTTCTTGTTTGTCTCACTTACATCCTGGTATTTGTGAGCATTTGAGTGTGGGACACTTGCATTCAGTTAGCTTGGTTCATTTATTAATGTGAGTGCCTGCATGATACCAGGCGCACTGTACACGGGATCGTGAGAGTTCAGTATTGCAGAGGACACAGTCCTGGTCCTCACAGAACACTTCAAATAGAGCAGGGAGACCAGAACCTAGCTTCAGGGGTTCAAGAAGGCTGCAGGGAAGTGTCCAGCTCGCCATAAATTTTCAGTAAATGTCATGTTTTATGTTTTTTAGTAAGCTATCTGTATGGCAGTCTCTGACCTGCAGAAGCTTTTCCCAAGACCGGGGACAGAAAGTAGCCCGATATTCACATTCCCTTCTCCCTAGGTTCAGTACCAGAAGTGTCTTGTGGCCTCTGCAGCTCGGGGCAAGGCCTGGGGTGCCCAGGCCCGTGCCCGCCTTCGGCTCAAGCGGACCAGCTCCATGGATTCTTCAGGAGGTCTCCTGCCCCGCCCTCTGCTCAAAGGAGGTGCTGGGGGTGCAGGCGCAGCCCCTCGAAAACGGGGCGTCTTCTCTTTTCTTGATGCCTTTCGGCTGAAACCCTCTCTGCTCCACATGCCCTAAATTTATCTGGGAAGGCTGGGGAAGGAGGCTCTGGAGCCGTGCCCAGCTCTGTGTACCCCTTCCTTCCGTGGGGACCTGCAGCCTCTTAAACCCTTGGAACCTCTTTGCCTGCTCCTCTGGCCCTTGTCCACTCTCTATTGCCCAATTTCTAGGAACCACTGAGAGGCCCTGCACCACACTCCCTTTCCTGGGGTCCCTGTGTTCCTTGCCCCTGTCCAGCCCAGGACAGTTGGCTCTACCTCAGCAACACTTTATAGCAAAACTAGTGCAAATAAAACCCCTCAGTGACCTCACTGAGTGTGAGTACATTGGGCCTGGGACCTGGTTGGGAATAACCTGTGTGAGGTGTCTTTGTGTTTGTGCTTGGTGTTGACATGACTGCCGCCTGAAATCGTGATGGCATGTGTGTGGTGGAAATCGGGTTTAATTCATTCCACACGCTTCTGAAGTTTTCTCTGCTCGGGGACCACCAGGTCGGTGACTGAAACCACAGCTGCTCGCTCGGAGGGAGGAGAGGCTGCCTTGCCTGCTCCCGGGAAGACGGGACAGTTTCAGAGACAGGATGGAACAGAAACTCTCTCCCGTGGGTCACTCAGAGACTTTGTGGGAGTGGGCTTGGCTGTTCTCTGGGCCAGGCCAGAAAGGTAACAAAGCAGGTGGCACCCATCCCCACTCCGCTGGAACTCAAGAAGGGGAGACACAAAGCTCAGCAGACCAGATAGAAGCTCTGTCCTAGGGCTAGGGCACCTCAGCAAATTGGGTGGGGGGGGGCGGGGGGCTTACCTGAGGCCCGGTGTCCGGGCTGAGGCTTCACCGGCCCCGGAGCACTTTCGGGTGAGTGCGGAGCGGGAGAAGGGATGGCGGTGAGGGGCGCAGGCAGTGGACCTGCTGGATCACGATGGCAGGCCGGCAGCTGGAGAGACGGGCCCCAGAAGACCAGGGCCCCGACGGGCAGTGCTTTGGAGACAACGCCGCCCACGAGACGGCGCAGAGCGCCCCTTGCCCACGTCTCAGAACAACTGCCCAGTTCCGGCGCGCCAGCAGCCTGGCTCTCCGCCGCCCGGAAGTGACGCGCTGCCCCGCTGGCCGTGCGGAAGTGGCGATGGCGGAGCTGTACGTGAAGCCGGGTGAGCGCGGGCCGGGGCCGGGCGCTGGGCTGGGGCGGTGACGGCGCGGGTCAGAGCGTGGTTCTCATCGCGCCCTCCGCGTCCCTGCGCAGGCAACAAGGAGCGCGGCTGGAACGACCCGCCGCAGTTCTCTTACGGCCTGCAGACCCAGGCGGTGGCCTCCAAGCGCACGCCGCTCACCAAGAGGGTTGCCGCCGCGCAGGATGGGTCCCCCAGAGGTGCGTGGTGGCCCCGTGCGGGGAGGACCGCGAGGGGCTGTGTTATACGGCTGGGCCTGAGGGAAGACCCTAGCTATGTGTGTGTGTGTGGGGGGGTATGGGTGGGGGGGGTATGGGTGCGGTGGGCTCCCAAAAGGGGCTCAGGAACGGGCCTTTCCCCAAGCCCCTTTTGGACTGGCAGTGGTAATAACGGGTATGTCGATTTCAAAAGGCTATAATATCATCTTAGGCGATCTACTAATGTAGACCTACGGTTTTAAATATAGTTTCTGTTTTCAAATTTCTGTTGTTCAACCAGGGCTGCTTCCCAGAACGGCACAGTAGTATGTCTATTTGTCTTTTCTATATCTTAAGTTGGTAATAAGCATCTCAGACTTACCGTGTCATTCATTCATTTAATCAGTATGTCTAGTGAGCACCTACAATGAGCCAGGCAATGTCTGAGGGTGAACTAGACAGCAGTGACCAAGACAAGGTTTCGCTTTCATGGCACCGACGCTCTAGTGTTGGAGACAAATGAAATAGTGGTAAGTGTTATGCAGAGAAATCAAACAGGGTGATGTGGCAGTAATGGGGCAACTGAATTAGGTGTCTATGCTTGGCTTTTGGGCTGAAATCTAAATGACAATTAAAAGCTAGACACAAAAATCGAGTATATGAACATCACAGGCATTGTGCAAAGATTGAAATCAGAACAAGTTTGACAGACTAAAGGAGATTGAAGTGTGGCTGGAACATAATGGGCTAGGGATAGAAATCTAAATGTAAACCAGGAGAAAGCATTTGCATTTTAATCTCGGTACAGTTAGAAGTCACTGAACGATTTCAAATAGAGGAAGGCCGTTTTCCTCCTGAAGATCTAGGCTAAGCAGAGCTCAGAGTTGACTCATTAAAGTGCCCCTTCCATTCTCCCCACTTTTTCCATCACAAAGGACTGGTATCCACCAGCGTTTCTTAGCCTTGTGCTCCTTACTGCCCTGCATACTCTAGGATCTTTAGCAGCAACCCTGGCTTCAACAGATGACAGTTGCCCTGCCTGTCCTGTCCCCCGCAATTGTAATAGCCAAAGATAGGTGTTCCCGAGGCATAAAGTCACAGGTTTAGAACCACCGATCAATTTACGTCTTTTGGAAAATCACTGTGCTTGCAGTGTGGAAAACATTTTAGGGAAGGAGGAAGACAAACCAAGAAGCCACTAAGGTAATATGGGCAGTTTATTAGATAGATGATGGCCTGGAAGGGTGGGAGTAATGAGGGGTGGACAGCATTGGGATACATAATAGAGAAAGTCAATAGGAATAAATAGGTGTAGGGAGTGAGACAAAGAGGAATCTTAAAGCCAACCTTTAAATGCTTTGCCTTAGGATCTGGCTGATATTATTGATGTGGGTAGACTATTCCTTTTGGGTCCTCCACACAGCATTTTGGGGAGGAAGAAACCAAGCTTTCTGTTTAGCCAAGTTACATTTGGGCTGATATTTTGGAGAAAGACCTAGGTCAGAAGTAGAGAAATAAATCACCCTCTTATAGATGGTTACCGAATGTCAGGGACTTAAATGAAGCCACTTCCGGTGTGGGTAGAGGCCTAAGACAGAACCCTAATATGCCAACATGTCAGAATTGAGTGGAGAAGCTATCAGCAAAGGAGACTTGGGATTAATGGTTGGCTGTGGTAAATTTGGCTGAAAAGTCAAGTTAGGTAGAGACCGCTAGATTTGACAACATAGCAATCCCCAAGAACCTTTAATAGGAGCCGTCTCTGAAAGAGGGAGCAGAAGCCCTCGTGCCTTGTTTTTGCTCCCAGAACTAGTCAAGACTTTACTTGCCCTTGGGGCACTGACCTTGCATTTCCCTTGATGTAGTACACTGTTGCTTCAGCTCCCTGACTGCTCTGCCTCATCCATTAGTTTTCAATAACTGATTGTTTGGCACTTTTTGCTACACAATAATCTAGGAGTTGTAGGAACTCTGGTGGCACTACAAACCCACAAGGTATGCTGTTCAAATCCACCTGCTGCTCTGAGGGAGAAAGGAGGCTACCCGCTCCCATAAAGGTTTATATCCTCAGCAAACCTGTAGAACGTTGCTATGGCTGAGAACTGACTTGATGGCAATAGGTTAATGTCTCCATTTTACAAAAGATGAAACAAGAGCTAAGAGATTACGTTTGGTGCGCAGGGAGAAACTTAAAATGCCTTCTCAGAAACCCCTGAATAATTAAGTCTAGATGAGACCTACTCCCTTTTAAAAAAAAATCACAGCTTTTTCTTTGTAGCCAGTAACATAATTTAGGATGAATTTCACATTACGCTGCTTCTTTAAGCTGAGTTGCTTAAACCTACCTTCAGTCCCTACCACAGAGACGACTTCTGGGCCGCCCCCAACTGGACCTCCACCTGCTTCAAATAAGAGCCCCAGGCTTCCACCTGTGGGGAGCTGTCCTGGTTCAAGTGTAGAACCCTTAAGTTTGCCAGTCACCGAGCCCGAGACTCTGCTAGAGAACGTGCTGAGGCCTCTGGAGCAGGCAGTGGAGGATTGCCGGGGCCATGTGAGGGTAAGCGCAGTGGGCCTGCCGGCCCTGGCACACCATGTGGTAGGGAGGAACCCCGTGGATAGTTGGATGCAGTATGGTTTTCAAGGGTACCTGCTAACCTTATGGTCAGTCGTGCTTCACCTTTTATTGACTTGTGGCACCTTCAGCTTGGCTAGGGAATTCCCACATAACTCAACACAGGATTTTAGAAAGGCTTATGGGATTTCTGAACAGCACCCAGTAGAGGTTCAGAGGTTGGGGTAATAAGAGTCCAATTTAACATCCATTAGTAACTAATGGAACCTAGGTGGCATGGCTCGCCACAAGGCTGGCAGTATGGACTCACCAGCTGCTCCACAGATGAGGTACTCTGTTTACCTGAACATTTACAGCCTCATACCCCCATGGAGCAGTTCTTCTGTGTTGTATAGAATCACCTTCCGTTGGAATAGACTGTTTTTTGCTGGTGTTTAATATTTTGCACCTCTCGCTATTCAGAGCAGGCCCAGCTGATTTTGTGCTTAGAGAATGTATATAACAACCCAGTAAAGGCAGGGAAGTCTGTCTATGAAGGTGCTTAAAACTGTGGGAAAATTGCATTAATTCTAAAAGATGATGGAATTTCCCCCAAACTATTTAAAGCCTCTTCATATATTGTGTTTCTAACTTTTCTGGAGACGAGAAATCTGAGTGCCTTAAAGGAGAAGATGTATAATCATGCCACTTCGCTGGTCCTAGTAAAACTCACTACAGGATGAGCCCCTGAAGGCTTGGAATGTAAAAATTCTAGCCATGTGTATTTTTATTGGGGAGAAATCCATAGGCTTCCTCGGGTCCCCAATGTAGCCTTTGACCTTGGGGTAAAGAATCAGCTGTCAGGAATAAGTAAAAAGTCCCTCGGCCAGAGAAAGCAGGTGCCTCCTATGTGGTCTTGCCTTCCCCTCCCCTTGCTGAGCAAGCAGCACTGACTTGGAGAGGGCTCCTGTCTCTCAGAAACAGGTATGTGATGACATCAGCCGACGTCTGGCACTGCTACAGGAACAGTGGGCTGGCGGGAAGCTGTCAGTGCCTGTAAAGAAGAGGATGGCTCTGCTGGTGCGAGGTATGGATGGGTCCGGCCGTGGGGCTGAGCTGGAAATGGGTGCCGAGTTTTGGAGTGACTGGGAGGGAAGGTTGCTTCTTTTGCCCCAGGCAAACGTGCTCAGCACTAATCTTTCCCCAGAGCTTTCAAGCCACCAGTGGGATGCGGCAGATGACATCCACCGTTCACTCATGGTCGACCATGTGACGGAGGTCAGTCAGTGGATGGTGGGAGTTAAGAGATTAATTGCAGAAAAGAAGACTCTGTCTTCAGAGGAGGAAACCACTGAAGAGAAATCTGAAGCCACGCCTGAAGAGACCCAGACTCCACCAGGCGTCCCTGGAGCTCCATAAACCTTTGGGTTCCCCAGATTTGCCTCAGAACCATCTCCTATGCCTTGGCCTTCTTTCTTGACTCCCTCTCACCACCAGGGGGACTGTCTGCTCCATGGCCCCGTGCTTTGACCTACCTCTTGGGGGAAGAGGCCCCACATGGGCCACAGGGAGGTCACTTCAATAAAGCACATGCATTTCAATAAAAACATCTCAATGGTGGGCCTTGGGTAAGAGCAACAAGCCCTTCCCCTTATCAAACTGGTTCCCTCTGGTATCCTTGACTGCCCTGCTCCTTGCAAACCGGTTCTTCCTCAGATTACTGCACATCTACATCTTTTGGTAGGTTAGGGAGAGCCCTGTCTTTTTGATGTCTTCATTTCAGCCTGAGAACAGAGGCTTAAATAGCATGGGGAGAAAAGGAAAGACTGTCCTGTTTACACTTTTATCGCTGTTAAGGTACATGGGTGTTACAGGGCATAGACCCAGAGAGATCTGCGTTCTTGTATAAATTGGAGGAAATGGTCAGATTTGGGATCCTAGATCGTTAACTTACTAAACAAGCTGCTTTCTACTTCTCTCTGGGCCTCAATTTGGACCCAGAGGTCTTATTTTAATGCTGAGAACAAGAGATGGGTGGAAGGGGCTAGATAGGTCCCTGGGTGGTGGGTGTCCTATCATGAGAAAGGACAATACAGGTTTTAGTGTTGGGAAAAGGAATGGATAATGGCAGGCGAGTGTTAGAAAAGGCGTAGGGAGAGCCCAGCAATGGTTGAGGTTGGGAAGTGCTGTTTTTCCAAGAGATTGGATTGGAGAAGGGCTGCTGAGAGGGCCTGACCCCAGGAAGGCTGTTTTGTTTTGCAGGAAGAGGCTATTGCAGTTTACTGTTTGTGGGGGTCCTATAACCTGCTTCAGGCTTTATTTGCTGCTAGAAGTGAGCTGATTATGAACTAGACATGGAGCCTCTGGTCCTAACCCAGTCTGTGGGGCCCTTCAAAGGGAAAAGCTGTGTGGCTGAGATGTGAAATCAGCAATGAGGACAACACTAGAGCCAAAGCATTTCTTTCAATGTTTACTAAACAGCCAGAAGGTGACATACTCCATCTCCAAGTTCCAAACCCAGAGCCAGGAAGGCCGGAAGGGGAATGGAGGTGGGGGAACAGACTGACCAAAGAGAAAGCACTAAGGGCTTGGCAAATTGCCCACTCCTGTCTCTGGTCTAGCTGCCTCTGACTAAGGGAGGCCCAGACCTACAGGCCACTCCCTTCCAGATTAGATGAGGCCAGTTGGCCTTTGGATACCCCAGGAAGAGGTGGTGGCAGCAGCGGCATGAGGGATTCCTCTGATTCCATACACCAGGTCATCTGCACTGGATCAGATGTCCATTTCAAACTGTGCGTCATCTGGAGAGAGAAGAGGACAAGCTGGGCTGAGTACATGGTCTGCAGGTTCAGGGTCAGTGCAGAATGCCTTTTGGAATCAGACCTCCAATTCTACTTAGAGGGGCATTTCCTGGAAGGAACCTTGATAGTGCAGTGGGTTAAGCACCCAGCTACTAACCATGAGGTTGGCAATTGAAACCCACCGGACGTTCCACAGGGATGAATATGAGGCTGTCTGTACACACAAATGTTTCTGTTCTAAGAAACCCTTTGGAGCAATTCTCCCCTGTCCTGTAGGGCTGCCGAGTTTGGATCGACGTGATGGCAGAGAGGTCTTTTGTCCTTACCGGGTATCTCTTCCTCTGTCTCCTGCTCCTTCAGCTCCTCCAGCTTGGAGAGTGGTGCGGTTGGAGTTGTGACCCCGGGGATCTGAGGGAGACAGCAGGGAGGCGTCCGGGCAATGGGTGAGTTCTTGCACTCCAGCAGGAACTTTCGGTCGTAGATGATCCTGGTGCCTATCAAGGGACAGGGGCTGAGGTCAGAGGCAGGAACGGGACAGCTGGCAGGGGCCCTAGGTGCAGCCCTTTCAGGGATCCAAGTCCTGTTTGCCTGTGCATCAACAGTCTCCTGCTTTATATCCCAGCCAAGCCCTTGGCTGACTAGCTTTCCCAGCACTCTCAGGTTGATGGTGGAAAGCATACCAAAGGAAGTGGGGTGTCCCAGCTGGCCCGGACAAACGTTTTTAAGTTCGTGGTGCTGTCGGCCTTGGCTATAGGAGGAACACCAGACTTGGGCGTTCAGGCTCCTGCTCTACTGATTGCCTTGCTTTGTTTCACAAGTGGAGCCTTCATCCTCCAGCCTCAGTTGGGTCAAAAAGCCAAATGGCAGATGTGGAGGTTTGTTTACCCAGTGCTGCCTGAGCTCTACTGGAGGAACTTTCCCCAACACTTGCTTTCTCCATGAAGCAGGACACACTGTTCTTATCTTCACCCTCCCTCGGCCCAACCCCGGGAACTTGGCCCACAGGTTGTCCTCAAAGGGCCCTGCCTAGTCTCACCCCTCCCTTCTACCTCCTCCCAGCATGGCATGAACCCCTGGGTCTGGAGCCCAGCAGGAACTCGTGATCCCAGGCTGCTCGCCCAACCAAACAGCCGGTAGCCTGCCCTAGCCTCCCTTTGGGTGCTTGGCAGGATCTGTTGCTGTCTATTAAGCCCATGCTCAGTTGGGGACTCCCACTCCCAAGGGAGGGTGGGTGAATGAACAAGGCATTCGGGACCCAAGCCACAGCCAAGGATTCCGGCCCAGAATCACCTGGAGGCTAGGTGCAAGGCTTGTTACATCACGTCAAGGTTTTGGGGCACCGGGACCCTCCGCTCCAAACCGCCGCCCCTAAAACTGCTACCAGAGATAGAGTGACCTGCCGGTCAATACCTTCCCGCCCCAGCCCCGCGGCAGAACGCACGTGCTGGCCTGCCCACTGCCTGCGGACCCCCGCCCGACCCGCTGACCTCCCGGGGTAGTGGCGTATAGCGTGCCCTCTGGCGTGGTGCTGTAGCAGTCTGGCAGTGGGTCCCGGCCCCCGGGAATCGGGCAGCTTGTCGACGTAGACATAACGAGCAGGAGAAACAGGAAGGCAAGCGGCGGGTGCTGAGGACACCGAGGGCAGCTCTGAGTCTGAGGCGGACTCAGCCGACCACGTGCGGCCAAAAGCAACACCACCAGGGTAACGTCATGCCCGGGGCGGGCCACTCGCCGTCACTCAACCCGGCGGTCCCGCCCTCCCCGGCGAGGTCCTGAGCTCCAGAAAGCCGGAAGGGGTCCCAGGCCGCGCACCCGCCTCCCCTTCCTATTGGTCCAGCGCGGGCCAACGTGCCCCTGAACCCGCCGCTATTGAACCAGTCTACTATTGCAGACTGCTGGGCGCTGGGGGCAGGTGAAGCGAGGCCGACTGTACTGCCACGTTTTGACGCGCCCACGCCTCGCCACAGCTTTGGGCAGCACGACTGCTAGTCCTATTTCAGAGGAAGAAACTAAAGCCCAGGCAAGTTACACTGCACATCCTCTAGGGCAGGAAGTTGAGATTCGGACCGGAGTATATTCCAGAGCCCCTGCCCTTCATCACAGTAAAAAGGGAAAGTGCCTTCATCCGACACATCCCACGGCTCTCTGGGCAGTGTGGTGGGCCCTTTGAACTCTGCCACGCTGACCTCAAAACAACGAAGGAGAAGGGGGCTTGGGAGGTCAGTCTGGCTTTGGAGATGCGACTTTCCGATGTAGGCACAATACTGTGAAAGGAGGCAGGAGTGGGAGTAAGTACCGATAACTCTGGAAATCTCAACCTGATCCAGTTGTTCTGTTCCGCTTTCTCAAAGTCATATTGCCACCCCCTCCACCATTAAGTACAGATGTACTTGACTCTGTATCACCTCAGCTCTTTTGTCTCAAAAGGGCTTTTTGAGCTTTGTGATAAGCAGTGCTTGGCTAAATGAAACGTTTTCGCAGTATTGCTGGGTAAGGCTTGGCCACAGAGTGGAGAAGTCGTCCATGTAGGATGATGCTGTTTTTAAGCAAGGTAAGCAGGCCAATGTGGCAAGTAGGGGCTGAGCAAAGGGCAAGTGATGGAAAGGCTTCCAAGTGTGCAGTAAAGCTGAGAGATGGGGTGAGCCAAAGTACAGTGACTGTGGGAACAGAAGGGCATGGGATCCAGACACACAGAGGAAGAAGGATAATGTGACTGAACGTGGGGTGAGGGAAGATAAATTAGGATGTCTGGTTTGAGAGTCTTGGTAGCTAGTAGTACCAGCTAATTTAATAGGATAAGTGAGGTATGTATCTTATATTGGAGAATGGTGTGTGTGTGTGTGTGTGTGTGTGTGTGTGTAAATCACAAATGGAACAGCCCAGTAAAGAGCTAGATATACTGGTCCTGAACTGCAGGGGGAGAAGCCTAGGTCAAGGGCACAGATCTTGAGTGAAATCCAAGAGTGTGAACAGGAAGTTCCAGCCTCCGGAGAAGATGTAGCCTAAGAAGAATCCTGGATATACTGATTTAAGGGACTGGTGGAAGAGGGGGACTGACCAAGAGAGACTGAGAAAGATCAATCAAGAGAACTGGGAGAGAAGGGTATCAAGGAATTACAAAAAGCAACAGTATGGGAGTGAGATTGTCCCGTACTAAACTCTACCACAAAACCAGAGCAGCTGTTATTACTATTTGGAGCTAACTTTTCTGGAGACATATTGTATACAATAAGGGTAGGGAATCTGCAGAAAAGATAGTTGGCTTTAGAGGGGAAAAACCCCTAGATTCCTCATCCATGCAGCCTGGATTTAGAGTTTAAATAAGAGAGTCAACACTGATTACCTATTACAATATAGGGAGCTTCAAGAAAAATACTTATGAAAACAATGAAATAAAAATTTTATGCAGTATTATGTGGGGAGAAACTTTTAAAGGAATAAGTGCACTGGGACAAATTGCTTTAAACCCATACTAATAACACCAAGATATAGTAGGTGGTGAAAAGTAATCACAAAGCTTTGCAACTGTATTTTTTGTTTCATGGTTTTGTTTTTCAAGTTAGGTCTTACAGCCAATGTTCTTGCCTTGTATAGGAGATGGTCCTAATATTTAAATTTGAGGTGCTTAAACTCATTTCTTTGACCTGTTTCCTATAGGAGAGGTTGAAGAAGGCAAATAATGGCAGATCTTTGGGGGTAAATAGAAATGCAGTGTTATCAGAGGTCCTCACCCCAGTACAGAGTCCACTGGGAAGGCGTCACAATCACACACTTCTAGGTAGAAGAAAGCTAGGGCTAGGCAAAGAACAAGTTGTTCAGAAGCTGTTTTCCTACAGGCTTGTTTGTCTCTTTCTGGGTTTACAATGTAGTCCAAAGGTTATAAACAGTGACTACAACCATGTATACTAAAGTACTCCTCTCTGGTTGATTTCACAGTATAATATACCCAGCCTCTTTGCTTCTACAACTTACAGACAAACTGGGGATGGGTCCCTCATGCACTAGCTTGGCATTTGGGAAAAGGGTTTGGGCAAAATCTGTACAAACAGATGGAAACTGCATCCCAAATCCTAAAGTTTCTTACCTCTGGTTAGGAGAGGCCACCATTGGCTGTCCAACTCTCTTCTTCGGTCTGGTTAGCTGAGGTGATGGGATTTCCCCTTTGAGAGCAGGGACTGAAGGAAGCAGACTGGCCTATAAAAGGGCAAGTCAGCACACTGTAGCCACAATATGTTTAAAGGGTCTTAAAACAGTATTCTTTGTTGATGGTAGGATTTTATTATATTGAACATACTCGAATAAGCAGGTCCAGAAATCTTGATATTAGTTTTATTCCTTGAAAGAGCCATTATTAGCATCGGGTCTGAGCTCTGCCTCAGCAGGACGTCTCATCAGGATTGACTGGAGGGCTTGCCATGGATGGGCAAGGTTTTCTTTTGCCACCACTAAAATCTCAAAGTCAATACCGACCACAGAGGAGGCTTTTGATTCCACCCTAGAACTATTGTTCGGGTTTCAAACCTCAGTACTGCAAACATTCTAATGACATCCACTATTCTAATCCCTTCTATTCTCATTCTCAAGAGGGGGCTAAAAAGCAGTGTTAGGGCCAGAGGGCTCATTTATGCTCATTAAGTCCAATTTTATTTTCAGAAGAAAGTCAAACTCAGAAAGGTGATAGGACCTAAGTTCATTTAGCTTGCTTGTGGCAGAAATGAAAACAGATCTTCAGCTTCCGACTCTTGTTCCACTGTACCCAAACTGCCTCCCTCCAAATCCCTTATATATTTGGAAAGAATTAATTAAGTTCTTACCTGAACTAGGTTTTATTCAACCTTCAGGTTGGTAAAACAGCAGTATAGCAATGCCCAGGAAGAGGCAGGCAGAGGAAAAAGCGATGGTAGCAGGTGGAATGGGATGGGGAGTAAGCTACAGGGATCCAAATAGAAAGGCAGGCAGGCAGTGCCAACAAAGGAGAGGGGAGAAAGGTCGAAGGAACTATTCCCAACTGCACAGCGCCCGTGTCTTCCTGTACCTCCTCGGCTTTCTCAGGATTGCCTTCCTTCTCACCTCATCGGCTCTAGCTCCTGGTCTGAGACTAAATGTTTCATTTTGTTGTCCTTAAGACACCGAATATAAGTTAAAAGGCTCCTCCAGAAAATCCAAATATAGTGTAGTTAGGATTGAACAAAACTCACCTTTTTGTTCCACTGAATAAATTGCTTAATATTTCTCACTAGAGCATGTTCATCAAGAGGAGTTTCACTCATTCTACTAATATTGAGTGATTTTTGGGGGGGTGGGGGGATGGGACAGTGGTTGTGGTGGCAAGTGGGACCAGTAAGTTAAAGTGTTCAAGGGAGTCTCTTGAGAATCCTTGATGTGATTATCAAGCACTATAAAGATAGTAGCTTCAAATATCAGTCATGCTTTTCAACTCCATTCAAAACAGAAAATAATAAATAAGCTTAAGGAAATTCCTTTGTAAGATTATATGAAAGTCAAGGGAACTAGGTATGTCTAACACAGTACAAACGTGGAGTGTCTTATCTAGTAATGAATGGCTTTAGGACCGGGGCAGAGAAGATTATGAATCCCTGCTGGCATCAGTGTAGAAAAGTGCTGCCTTTAGCAACTACCAACTCCTTTTCTGTGTATCTCCTGTGCCTTGATACGTGTTTTGGTTTTCCTATCAGCCCCAAGCAGTTTCTTTCTTTTAAGATGGACTATGCATGAGACCAGGAAATTCAACTACATTAAAACACATGAACAAGTAGATGACTGTTCTTTTCAGTGGGATAGTATTTCCTTCCCTATTGCATCAGATTCTTGGCATAACCTGTTGTTTGACCAAAGCCACCCATCCCAATGTTGTGTTCCCTTGGTTCAAGATATAGATTCTTCATACTTGGGGCCACGGAACTAAGCGCAGCATTAATCACATTAACAAACATTACTTCGTTGATTCAATGACCCAATAGAATGTTAGGAGTTACTTTTTCCTATGTTCAAACTCAAGTAAAATGTGTAACTGAATAAATCTTTTAGAGAAAGAACCACAAAAGGAATCTTAAATTGACTGAGTGTCCACAAGTTTGAAGGAGTCCTGGTGGGGTAATGGGTTAACTGCAAGGTCAGTGGTTCAAAACCACCAAATGCTTCTTCACGGGGGAAAGATGAGCCTTTCTATTTTCATAAAGATGTACAGCCTCAGAAGCCTATATGGGCAATTTCTACAGGGTTGCTATGAGTCAGAATTGACTCCAGGGCAGTTTAGTTTTGTTTTGGAAGTTTGTTCAGTGTCCTCTGATTTAAAATCCTATAGTTCTTATCAACTCACTCACAACCTATTAAGAGTTAAATCTATCAGTGGTCTGCTTACTAAAGTTTAATAAGACACATTGCAAAGGTTTGGGATTTTATCATGTTAGATAATGAAGACAACAAGGGGATAAGGACTGTTTAGCACACAAGTACATAACTCTTAAAAGTACTTTTCATGACTGTCTTAAGAATGGACTCTAATGTGTAATACAGAAGAAGTCTGCTACAAGTATCAAGCCGGTTCAAGATGGTTGAGAACTGGGTGGTACCTGCATGACCACCGAAAGGAGCACACCCCACTTCTAAACACTGTTCATCTTTTTATTGAATATTCTGGTAAATATTTCACAT